TCCAAACCATGTCCTAATCAGGCCCCTGCTTTTTCTTCTGAGCTTAGTAAATATTCAAGTCATGGAAATTGTTTTGCAACGCTAGGGAGTATGTTGACTTCATAATAGTTTCATTAAAAGTTGAAGCAATTGGTTTCGGTCATGAACGGATTCCCAGGTGATGGAAGTCCTCACCATTTATTGAAAAATTACATTTATTACAACTAAATAAAAGAGTAAATTACATAAAAGTCTTTGGGTTTGATCATAATTCAGTTGGCTTAACACGTAGGCAACCGTGATACTTTCTCTCTCTGTCTCTCTCTCTCTCTTGATTGTTGGTTGCTGCAATAACTCTCTTGCTATTAAGAGGTTGTGTGGCTGAGATTCCTGCTGCCATGTCCTTGTTTTATTGGAACATGGCATTCATTCAATAAACAAACTGAGATGAACAATTGGATAAAAATGATATGCCTTTAATGGGCTTTATTTTTAGGATTGAAATTGATAATCTGATTTCGAATTGAGCTTGGTTTGATTTTGGGTATGGGCTTCAAAGAAGAGAACCAAAGAGTTTGTCCAAGGAAATGAACAACAGAGAGGATGGGAAAGAGATTGGCGGAAAAGCTATCAGTAGCCAACGAAAACCGAGAGCTGAGAAACATGGTTGTAGCCTGGTAATTGACTTACCGTTTTTATTACTGTTTAACTAGAATTAAGTCATTAAGATTTCTTAATCCATTAATAATATTTTTTAATCCACTTAATGCATTTACGGTCACCCTACCTGCAGTCTCATTAAGAAGCTTTGTCCTGCCCAGGTGACTGAATCCATTTTCAAATATGCTTATGGAAAACCGAGCTTTGAATATTGACTGATTTCCCCCACCTGTTTCTTTTTCCTCAGATGCTTTTTAATGAAGCCACGAAACTAGATTTGTTGTGCTTTTTTTCCATCAAATTTCAGTTGCTGGATAAATTGAGTTTGACTTGTCTAAAAGAAATCTTGCTTGTGAAAAGTTAAAACTTAAAAATGGGAGCTGGCTAGCTGGCATGAATTTTTACCCAATAGGATGCCAAAGAAATTTATGTTAACTAATAAAATTAATACATGAGTACTAATAAGGGGTTTAATTATGGGGTTTTTTTTATTGAAATGAGTTTTATTTTATAAAAAATATATATTTAACAATAACCAATTATTTACTTAAAACCAAACGATGAAATTATTTAAGTTTGAATTTACTCGTTTAATACAATTATATATTAAAAAAGACTATTAAAATTCAATTCCTGCAATTAAGATAATAAAGCTTGATTTATTTCTAAATGGGTTTGAAAATTCAACTCTTAAGTTTCTAAGGATTGGCCACATATGCAATATTTTTCATTTTTTGTTTCTTTTTGAATTTCCATTTTGCCAATGAGATGAACAAAGTAAAACGTTACATTGCTCTGACCATAGGTTTTAGATTTAAAACAACATTTGCCCCTTTGACCAAGGAATTACCTTTAATAGCTGGATCATAAATGTCTCCTCCATGAAACATAGCCTTCATTCTTCCCTCACATAGAATAGTAGTCATATTGTTAGGAATGTGTCAAATCAATTTCTAAAATTTCAAAACAAACAGAAACACAAAGGTACTTATTATTATTATTATTGTTATTATTATTATTTTGGTAAGTTTATCATTATTGTTATCAAATAAAACAAAGTCGGTCAATGTTCTAACTCAATCGAATTTTTTCGCTAATCAAAGTTAAAAATGTATGTAAACACATAATTTAAACCAGAAATCATAATCTTTTACTGTAATGATTTTATTGGAGACGGAAATATATATGTAACACTAGGTGTCAAGCAAATATTGTTATAATACTTTATTTTTTGGATCGGTTAACTTTGATTTTAGTTTCAAATTGGTTTGGTTTTTCCAACCAAGGTGGGGAGAAAAATAGGTTAAATTATTGAGTTTTGGTATAATCATGGCTATTTGACAAAAGTGTTAGGCACGGTGCATGCAAATTATATAATAAGAATGGCAAGGAAATTTCGAGAGAGAAAAAGTATTACAAATTAATATAATAATAATGTGAAATTAAAGGGAAAATTTTAAGTGGAAGTAGAGAAATGGGAAATGGTCATTTGTGTTTCAATTTTTGTTGTTTTTGTAGTATTAATTTCTTAATTTGGGTTTAGACATTTAATGCTATATGGGATTTATATCACCGATCATTATTTTCTCTTTAAATTGTTAACTTGATACGATGTGCAGTATTCATACTTCCAAATTTACTCTGATATCATTTTTCACGAGTTTATATTTTAAATTCAAAAAACATATTTATTAAGTAGAGAAAATATCTCATTTAAAAGTTCAAGACTTACTTGTCACAATGCTATGAACATTTTTTTAAAAGAATTAACTTAATAAAATGTGTAATATCTATTCTTACAAATATTTTAAGATCATCCTACTTGCCCGAAAGAGAATTGAAGCACCATAATCTACGAATTCTTATAAAAAACTAGACGTGACACTTATACTAACCTTGGTGCGACATATAATTCCTAATTTTACATGTGAATTATTCATGTTTTACAAAAATTCGTTTGGCCGGTGGTAGAGATTGTGTGTTTCTTTTATTTTTTCCTTCCTTTCCTTATTGTATGCTCTTCTGTTCTCTTAATAATAAAGTGCTAGAAATGTGTTGATAAATTATATAATATATGGAGTCCAATATGTTCATACGTTGTCCCACTATGATTAGTTAAGAAAACTTGTCTCTAAAATTGAAAACAGAATTTCAAAATTGGTTCCATTCGAATTTGGACATGCCACTAATTGCAATGATAACTACATTTCGACTAAGATAATTAAATATAACGTGAAATGTGGGACATCACATTTAAATATGAAAATAAAATAAAAAGAAAAGAAAAACCCACCAAACATTAATGTTTTGGCTTTGTTAATGCCACCCGTGACTAGATTATAATGCAAACAAATATGAAAACGATCAAGACGTTTCATTCTTGGCTTTTGACCTTTTTCATTGCTGTCATGTGCGTGTGTGTTAAGGTTTTAAAGTTTGCGAGAAATGGTTGCTGGGTGAGGGAGACAACGCGACTGCCCATGTGAAAAGAACTCGTCAAAGTTAAAAGCACCATTTAGTTTGCCCTTTTCCGCCTATGTGTCTCTATTACGTGTAATACTCATTTAATGGAAATTTCCAAGTCGGACTAAAGCTTAATTATTATCCAGTTGTAATAAAATTATTAGGAGATCCATCATTTATAAAATGTAAAGTCCATATAATTAACTAGTTATAATATAATAACAAAGACTAACAATTTGTGGACTGTAATTGATAATCAAATACAGATTAAAACGTAAAAGGTAAAATTAAAAGATAAATAATAAAAGCTACTATTTCCATTATATTTTTCCTTTTGCTTAATTACACTAGTGTCCTAATTATTAGACACACTAAATAGTTTTGTTCCCTTATTTTACAACTGACTACCCAATTGAGGCTCCGAACCCAAACTTCTTGATAGCACTGACACCTGTGGCGTGACCCGTGGCCATGATTAAAATATTATAAATCACCCGCAAAGCTTGAAGCGGTAGTAAATGTCAGAGAGTTGAAGAAATTAAAGGCTTGGCTACAAAGAAATTGCGAGGCATGGGCAGGCAGCAGCATGTGGACTAAAGAAATTAAGTGGTCTTTAAATGTCAACTCATACGACCTAATTCTGCAAGAGTCGAGATTAATTAATTTGTTTTTGTTGCTTTAAAATTTGAGAATGCTGCTGTTTCTACATTGGACGAATTTCTCTTGTACATCTACCTCTCCCAGTGCTTCATTCTTTTATGAATACTTTAATCTTCAGTTGAATTCCCCTTTGAATAGTTTATTAATCCGATAGTGAAATGTGTGAATGACATATTTAATACGTAAGAAATAATTAATCTTTCACTTAATAAAGAATGAAAGTATTTATTAATTTTGAAGCATTTAAATTTGAAATCGATTAAAATTTAATTATTTATGCTCTACTTAATTCGAATTTAAAAATTAATATTTAATAGTTAAACTTGATTATTAATACTCACAAAAAATTCGAATTTAAAACAAAAAAATAAATTTATAGTTATTTATATATATTATTAATAAAATTAAATTAATAAATTTAAATTAAACCATTAAAAATAAATTAATGCTTAAAACCATACTTTAAATAATAAATAAATTGGAATAAGTATTATATTAATTATAAATAATATATATAAAACAAAAATTTAATATTAAAAATTATTATTCATAATTGAGTTTGAATAATAAATATCTTAAAATCATTATTTGACCGTGTATAACTAGTAATTTTATTATTCAAATTTTATACTAACCGATTATAAAATATCTTTATCTTATTTAATATTGTCAGACATTCAAATTTACCCTATTATAAAAAAAAATTAATTGCTACACTAGCTAGCAATTTATAAAATGGAAATTGTAATATTACATTAACGAACTTAATAAAGAAGGTGGCGTCAGCGTGTTGAATCTAATGGTGACGCGACGTCGCTGAAAAGACTGCATAATCTGATCCTCGACCCCTAGGCAGAACCGCTAGAGTGAAATGGGAACTTCGATGAAGTTTCTGTTGTTTTCGCTGTTCCTGTTCTGTTCAAGATAATAACGTAAACCATTTGCCTTTTTGTACTTGTCTGCGTAAGACTTTTGCAGTGCTTGTTTTTATTTTAAAAAAAAAACAAACAGAAATTAGAAAGAGGTCCACAGTCATAGCCTACTAAGAACGGAGACCATAGGAAAGTTAGAAACCAGAGGAAACCAGAGATAACGCGGTATGACGTCAATATTTTTGGTTACTTACTATTACTATTCATTGTTCATTTGAAAAAATGTCAATGTGAACGTAGGAACATAGCCCGGGGAAAAGAAGATTTGATGGAACTTTTGCATCTTTCTTGCTTGGTCTCTCTATGTTTCCTGTTCCTGCAGGCGACACTCATATTCAGTCTCTTCTCTGTCCTGTCCTTTTCAGTGGCTTGACTTCATCGTTTTATACACGCTATTTTTTTTTTTCTCCTTTTAAGTTCTATCCTTCCTCTAAAGGAGGTGCCAGGTGTATGTTTGTACTTGTGATTGTACAATATTTTCCACACATTGATCCGTGTTCCCTTTACTGTTTCTTATCTGGGATTTCGCTTCTTCTACCGTTGTTTGATAAATTCAATCTCTTCAGCTTCACGCCTGTTTCCTCTTGGCTTCTTAGCTAGGGTCGTTTTTTGTTCACATTATCTGTAGAATTGTCGTCTTGTTTTGTTTCTTTTTCCCATTTCGCTTCATATCTTATATATTTTGGCTTTTCTTCTTCATGTTTCCTCTGCTTGGCTCCTAGACTTTTCTGGGTCAATTTTCTTTCTCTTGTTCCTCGTCAGGGTTCGATTTTCCTTGGTCTTGTTCAAAACCCAGTTTTCTTTTTATCTTTTTTATCTATCTTTTGAGGATTAAGTTAAACGAGAGGAAGAGGTCGCAGTTTGATACAACAATTTTGATGATAACTGGAAGTGTTTTGTTTTTTTGTAATTAAGCTTAGAAATGAAGTGTTTTTCGATCTTCAAGGACAAATCAAAGAGCAAGAAAAGAGAATCAAGCTCTGCTCCTGAACTGAGGAACCAAAGTAAATCGGATAATTCAGCACTGACTCGGACATCAAGATCTTTGCCATCTCCAAGGAGCATACCAGAGTTGTACAAAGAAAAGGAGCATAATTTGAGGGTCTTCTCTTTTCAAGAGTTGAGGGATGCGACAAATGGTTTCAACAGGATGTTAAAGATTGGAGAGGGTGGTTTTGGCAGTGTTTATAAAGGAACAATTAAGCCTCTCGATGGTCAAGGTGAACCTATAGTTGTTGCTATAAAGAAGCTCAACACGCACAGTTTACAGGTACTTACTGCAAACTTTTTCTTTCCTTAAATTTGCTTTTTGACACATAATCTACTTGTGTTCTTGTAGTATCTTTTCAAGCGCAACATACTGCACTTTTTCTGGTCTTTCTATTCACAATAGCTGAAAAGGATTCGCATTTTAATTTTGCAACAAAATGTGAGGAAATGGTACACTCCGCACCCTTAGATTTAGTGCATATTGATGAATTGCTGTAAGGCTGATTCCTAGAATGATTGGATAGGGATGGTGCCAGAATTTAGATTTGGGGTTAATTTTCTTAGTAGCCATACAAAATTTAGGAATCTATATGGTGGATATGGTGTTGGCTAATTGAGAATTTGATATTGTAGATCAGATTCACTGTTTAGAATCTTGTAAGGATCCAAAAGATTTTGATATAAGATAGCAGTTTGCTATTCTTGCTTTGGACCATGAGGTTTCTGTCTCTGTGCTGTCGCTCTCCATATCACTTACATTTCTAATGTAGTATGATATATTCTTTCCTTTTAGCTTATCACTTTAAGGAGAAATGGTCCTGGATGATTGAAGAGTTGGGCCCAAGTTTGGCTACACTAGTAACTCTTACTTGAATAGTGTCTGCTAAAACACAGAAAGGGTTTGCTCTAAGTTGCATGTTTATGTTGCATAGTGTTATAGAAATTTTCCATCTATCTTTCGTAGAAAGCTGATGAGAAATTAGATAAGAAGCAAAACCCTAGGAGTTTACAGGCATTACTTCCAAAATTGAAATCAAAAAGTCGTTGTTAATAGAAAATTGGATGAACTGAACCTTCAAAAATTTCGTCATTGTAGTGATATATCAGTCTCCAAATGGAAGCGGAGAAATCTTTCTTTTTCCCCCTCTAAACTATCTACTTTATATCTCCGCTACTTGTAACTCATTCATCTGCAGAGCAGAAGCAGTTGCATTTTCTTAAATTTCATATGATCATTTGTGCTGAAAGGAAGAATTTTAGTGCATTCTCATCTGCAGTAATGTCCTTGATTTAGCTGGATTGTGTTCACACACTGCTTTCAAAATAGCTTGCTACATGATTTTTTGCCTTTAAAGTAGATGCATGTCTTTGAAGCTAAAAGGTGGCTGATTATCCTCAATTCTCATATTATTGTTGTCACCTTTTTTTTTTTTTGAGAGATGAATATTATTGTTGTCAGTTACTAGTACAAATTATAGTTTCTTCTTTTTGCTAGCTAAAATCTTTGCACTTTATTTGAAGAACTAGTTTCTGTTTCTTATTTTATTTTGGCTAAACTCATGTAGGGTCATAAGGAATGGCTTGCAGAGGTTCAGTTTCTTGGTGTTGTTAATCATCCAAACCTAGTAAAACTTATTGGATATTGTTCTGTAGATGGCGAAAGAGGGATCCAGAGACTGCTGGTGTATGAATTCATGCCTAACCGGAGCTTAGAACATCATCTTTTTAGCACGACATCCACTTTACCTTGGAAAACAAGATTAGAGATTATGCTTGGTGCAGCAGAAGGGCTGGCTTACCTACATGAAGGATTGGAAGTCAAGGTACAATCTTCTTTTGTTCAGATGACTTGAGCAAAACCACCATAAATTATCACATTAAGACTTGCTTGCTAGGATAGAGAAAAAAGTAAGAAGTTGGAAAGAGGTGGGTGGAAAAGGGGGGAGAAAAGGTGGGAAGAAGGAAAGGCTGGGCATAAAAGGGAAGACTGAAGAGAAAATAGTTTCTTGCACTGAAACTATAGGCCAATTAGCCATTTTCTCTATAGGCCCCAAAAGCCAAAATTTCCGAATTGGAAAGTTTAGGGGAGAGAGAATTCAAGTTACTCTCAGGATTTAATGCTGGGATTGCCTTCTACTGCAGTACCTGTTACAAGTAATGCACTTAATTACCTATCAGATAAAATAAAGCAAAAAACTTCATTCAGTGCATCCTTATAATGGATTGACATTGGTTATTTCTTCATTTACTTGAAGACCATACTCTTATCTGCCTTGTGTTCTTTGAACAGGTGATATATCGTGATTTCAAATCCTCAAATGTGCTCTTGGATGAAAATTTTAAGCCAAAGCTCTCAGACTTTGGGCTTGCAAGGGAAGGGCCAACTGGTGATCGTACTCATGTGTCCACAGCGGTAAGTAGATTTTGGTTATTTAAGTATGGTACTTCATGACTTCTGACTAAATTCTATGTTTGTTCAACAAACACTGCATTCTTGTTGGTTGGCTCAACCCTCCACTCTCTGCTGACCCTCAACATCTTAAGTGTACAGTACGAGCACTAATTTAGCTATTGTAGCTGCTTAGCACATTAGGCACTCGATATCTTTAGGATACCAAATAAATCTACTTCCACAAATTTTTCCCTCTCAGGAAAGGAGGCAGAGTTTTCTAGATTTACTTGATAGGCTTCTTTGTGGTAGGAAAAGATTTGGATGAACGAGTCTGATTCCAGCTTTGTATGTTTACTCTTGTATTAATGAGTCAGAGTTGCATTGTGAATATTTTTGAGAAGCATGACTCATTTCGGAACATGAACTTCGTTAAATTAAGGTGGTTGACAGTATCATTTCTTTTCATATTGTTAAAGGTGGTTGGAACTTTTGGATATGCTGCCCCAGAATATGTTGAAACAGGCCATCTCACAATCCAAAGTGACATATGGACTTTTGGGGTGGTACTTTATGAGGTCCTCACAGGGAGGCGAACAGTGGAAAGAAACCGCCCAACATTGGAGCAGAAGCTTCTAGACTGGGTGAAACAATTCCCTCCTGATAGTAAACGATTCAGCATGATAATAGACCCTCGACTTAGAAACAATTATTCTCCCAGTGCAGCTCGAAAAGTTGGTAAGTTGGCTGATAGCTGCCTAAACAAAAATGCCAAGGAAAGACCAACAATGAGCCAGGTGGTAGAGAGCTTAAAGCAAGCAATACAAGACTCAGGCGAGGGAAGCTCTTCGGTCAGCAAGTCGCCTCTTACATCTTCATCTAGAAGCAGTGGGCGAAGATCAAAAAAGGTTGGTACAGGACATTCGTGATCTTTAGCAGAGTCAACCATGGAACCTTTTATCAGTGACTCTTAGCTGTCTTTTGCTTTTCGTTTGACAGGTTTGAACTATGAATGCCTGGATTTTAAATGAAAATGGGATACTCCTATTTTCGTTGGTGTGTGCAGCTAAGTTATATCCAAAGGCGAGAGGTGATGGATCCCCTGAGGAATTGTGATGGAGTGTTCCAGTCAACTCAACTATGCAAGACCTTGGTCTTTGCATACATTTTTTTACTACTATATTATACCATTCATGGATGGAAGAAGCAGCGAGTGACTAAAAAGGCGAGATTAGTAGAAATGCTTGTAAATTACAGTAGCGATTGTAAGTTCTTTTGCATTAAATTGCTATATAAATTTCATTGTTAATGAAAAAGTTGAAGTATTTTTTATGTATGTACAATTGGGTTTAAGGTACCGGATACACAATAATATTCAAGAATTAATATAATCATGTTTTGATAATGGCTATTTTAAGAGTGATACTTGAAATCTACCTAAATTCGAAGCAGTTATTGTTAATTTTGCTCAAATGGTTTCAAATCTAAATATAAGATATCTGAATTCTATATTATTGAATTGATTCTTACGAATGTTCATATAAAATCAATCAATTAACTTTTTTAATATATTTTCTGTTCTTTTGAAAGAAAAATAAATGGGGTGTTTTGAAGGTAATTGATTTGCTAATATTTGACTCCATACATAAGAGGTCAAGCTAATTATGATTTTTTTCAACTTATTTATCTTTTAAAAGTAAAAATCAGTCAAACAAAAATTTGAAAAAACTCTTAAAAAAATAAATATTTTTTTTAAAAAACAAAATTTTGAAAAAAAGAGCTTTAGAAAAAGTTTTAGGGAGGAGATTTCTCTCCTCTTTTTTTAAAAACATGTATTTTTTTTTTAAAAAAATTTATTTTTGTTTCAAAAATATCCTCATTTATTAAAAATAATTTCAATATTATCTGTTTTTATTTTTGTATGATTTATCATTAATTATAAATTTTATGTTATATAAAAATACTTTTTATAAATAAAAAACTAAAATTAACTTTTTTTCATTATGAACAAAAGAATTTGTAATTAATAAAAAATTATTTATTAAATATCTTTTATGGTAATTTTAATCAAAATTAGAACTTATGTAAATTATTTTATCAAACAATTTATTTATAAAAAAAACTTATAAAAATAAATTTATTAAATAAATTTAACTTAATTTTAAAAATTATTATTTTTTATAAAAGTTTCATAATAACTTTTAAACTAAAAAAAAGCTAGATCAATCAGGTAAATATTAGTATTAAAGAAAATAAAAAGAATGAAACTTTTTCATTGTGGATCCTTTCGTAATAGTTATACCACCTGGGTCGAAATAGGCTAAAAACTTTGGTAAGGGACGAAACCTCGAGGGGCTCAGCCCGTTCATGATTTGGGCTGAAACCTAGGCTAACAGTCCAAGTTTAATCCATGAGAATTATGAACACACGTGAGCCCAGATGGGGCCCATATGAATGGTTTAAAAGTCAAAACGATTAAACCTTTAATTAAAACCCAAATTCACTCCGACTCAGTTATCATAAAAAGAACGAAGAAATGGGAAAAACGTTCACTCTCATTCAAACGGTTGCTACCGCCGCTGCCTTCTCCGCCGTGTCTTACTGGTCGCAATTCCTTTTTTTTTTTAAATTTTTTATTTTACCCACCTTCTCAAGAATCTCTCCATACGTCGACGTTTGATTTCTTTTTGTTTTTCAAATTTTTTTATTTAGGTATGGATTCATGTTTGGCAGAGAGTCGGCTCGTAAAGAACTGGGAGACTTGATCGAAAGTCTTCGCCGTGATGATTCAAACTCCTCGTCTTCCTCACCTCCTTCGCATTCTTGATCGGTATTTCCAGTTCTCCGACCTAGAGAATTTTCTTTCGAATATGATATGATTGATTAGCGGCATAGAAAAACACCTGCATTGCCTTTTTTTTTTTCTCATTTGTAAGGGTGGGGTTTGATTAGAGGAAAGTTGGCTACTTTGGTAGGAAGGAGATTCCCACGTTTGGTATGCTACATTCACGGCAATATGATTTTACCACGGGGATGTGGGAAAGTTATAGTCATTGGGCGCAGTTACTGTAGCTCTCTCACTCTCCCCATCTCTTTCTCTCAAAATTGAAACCCTAGCCGCACCGCGTTCCCCTTCATTTCTACCGGGAATTTGGCAGGAGAAGCTCGTTGGAAACTCTAGTCTACTTTAAAGCTGGAATATTCCATTTCTTATTGAAAATCAAGTAATTTGAGCCTATCTCTTTCTATGCATCTTTGTTTATAGATCTCTTTCTATCTCTGGCTGCGATTTTTTGTTTTGTGGTATCTCTGGTTTTCTTTCAAATCTTTTTGTGGTTTTTTTTCCCCTTTTTTTCTGTTTACGAGTGAAGTGAACACTGTTTTTGACTTTTCTGTTTTATATTTAAAATGCTTGGAGCTTTATTCAAATTGTCAGGCCTTTTTTTCCTTGTTTGAAATTTAGGAGAGCAAGTTGTTGGGAAGACAAAACTTGATGCAGGATGCCTCTTTCATTTTCCTTTTCCTATTGGCGCCTCTAGTTTTAGGGTTTAGGGTTTAGTGATAAAAATAATAAATTTTGTTTTGTTCAACTAAAACTTTGGGTCTGAAATGAATGTTTAATCTGTCTCTTGTTTAGTTCCCATCAAGGAAGGATTCTCACAAGAGCAAATTGCTATGCTCGCGACTGTTATAGCATTGGCTATAAGGATTCAGAATATGATGTTGATTATCACTTTTTGTGTTGCTTCTTATTATAAGAGATTCACCAAAATAGAAAGCCTAAAAGATCCAACTATAGTAATTATGAGAAACATCCCATTAAAAGAAAGGTGTTTGAATCTGATTCGACTTAAGCAGTTCATGAAGCTTTGAGCAAAATTCTAGTTGAAGAAGATGAGCGAAATGTTTAATGCAGAAGATCTGGGCAAAGTCAAAGTTTGTCACTCGGATCCCAGATGGAAATGGAGAAACCTTCAATGGTGCAGCTACAAGAAATAAGCTGCTTAGGGAGACATCCATTCTTCAAAGGAGGGTTAGAACTAGAAAATGTCAAGATGACCCATTTTTACGCACAGTAGAGAAACTGGGTGAGATATGTCAGGGTCTAAGTGTTGAGCTTGGTAGATTGGTTAATAACTTTGAGTTCATGGCTGATGATGCACTGCAGAAAGGGAAAGTGTATGATATCGTATCTAAGATTGATGGACTTGGGGAGGAAGCAGTCATAAAGGTTGGAGCTATTATAACCGCTGATACTGTGAAAACTAATTACCACTTTTTACTTCCTGATGATTTCAAATAACTTTTTGTGAGGATGCTACTAGGTGGATCCCAGTAGATATGTTTGGGTTTTAGAGATTGAGGCATGAATTAGTGCTTTTGTATTAGCTATTAACTGTTAAAAGTTAGTACTTTAGGGCTGATATTTTTAGGACTTTTATGTCTTTGATGTTTGAGAGCTATTAACATGAGGCCAGTTTGGTACTGTAGTACTGTGACTTATTTGCTGTTTTCATAATTTGGAAGGACCTTCAATTTGTTCGCTTCACATTTTGTCAAATTTGTTGATTGAGCTGAATGCTAATTAGGAACTTCTGATTTCATTTTTCTTTGTGCAACAACATGCCAAGGTGGCTTAATTTACATATTTTATCTCGAAATGTGTTAACCTGTTCTTTTGCTTCTGTCTCATTTGAATATCTCGAACTTACTGCTTCAGTTACATGGCAATGCTGAATGTCTAATTAATGGTGCGTGGATTTTTTTTTTCTTTTCAAATACTATCTTGATGAATGTCCAAATTATAAACTTTTCATCTGGATTGTGGCATATTCAGCTACATGGGAGCATCAAGTAAGCTGTGAGTGAATGATTTTCATCCTCAAGGCTTGGAAATCGCCAAAACTTAAGGAAAGTCCTGTTGATACTGAGAACATGGTTAGGAGTGCTCCCCTGGCCTGCACTGGCTGCGTGCTTCATGTCTTGTAGCTTTTTGTAGACAAGGTTTTTTAAAAAACTCTGGGCGTATTGGGTTCACTGTATGAAAACTATCTTCTATGGGTGAAGGAATTGTTTGAAACTAACTAATTGAGGTGTATAATTTCAGACATAACACATTATAGAGCATCAATACATGTGCACAACCATCTTAAAACAATATAAAATCATGTTGATACTTGGGGCCTTTGGCCGTTGCCAAGTCACTGGATATGTTGTTTAAAGTAGGGCGGGCTTCATGCCTTAACCAAATTCTACAACTTTTTCTTCTATAAATGAATTATTTTGAATTGCAAATAAATGATGCTTTTGTTAGGCATCATGATATGATTTTGCTCTTATCGTGCTACAGGAAATGTAAAATGCATGAATTTTGCACATTCTGTCATGGTTTCATCAATTTTAAAAATATTAAAGATTGTGTTATTTATCCCAAAAAAAAAAGTGGAAATAAAAGAAGAAAAAAAGGCCATGATTTATCATGTCTCTGCTTTTCATGTTCCCCTTAATGTAGCAGTTCCACAATTTATTATTGTTATCAAATGTCTGCCAAATTATTGGTACTTTGAATTGAAGAATGGTTTATGTAGCCTTTGAATGTAGAAATTGGCTTTTGAAATATGCAAATATTGGAAATGTAATCAATAAACTAGAAATAACAACATTCATATATATATATATATATATTTGTTACAAAAATAAACATTCATTAACAGTTTGAGAGCCCATTGGCATTGATTACAATGACACACTGGAAAATTAATTGGACTGATTCAATCTTCAAAGTGTGACCAAAAAAATTGGAATAAAAAGAAAATGATCTTGGCCTAAGATTGAATGAAATTAATCTCCAAATATTTTGTGGAGATGCAATCTTTTTATTTTTGGTTTTACCCATCTGCTAGTTTGACATATGATATTAAAAATTATGGTGTATATGATCTATAGTCTTTTTGCTCTGTTTTTCTAGCTTATATTACACTATAAACTATGTACTGTTGTACCAGGACTTTGTACGTAGCTTCTACACAAGAGCAGCCTCCTCCATTTTCTCGACATTCTTCTCTCTGATTAACCCAATGTAAAGGTTTGTCCCCTTGGAGTCGCACTCTGAAATTTTCCGACCTCCTTCGGACATGTTCTTCACAAATTCCACTAAGTGCCGCCAGCTGTCTCCTTCGAACAACCTTTTGTTCATTCTTAGATATGTAAATGCACTCAATCCGTTGCCAGAATCTGATCTACTCGTTGCCAAAACTTGTGAATATGCACCGGCATCATACCTTTCCAGTGCATTTTCTCCAGCGAGTTCAACTCCGGCCGTCTTTGTTGCCATCTTTACTTGCCGAACCAATCCCTCCGGTGAGCAGTTTGCGTGATCAGGCTGTTCCCCGTCTCTCATTTCCATGCAGGTGAAATTGAAAACAACTCCATGTCTACTCAACATTTGTGCTATTGGGAGGTAACCGTCTCGATATCTAGTGTTGTAGTACCCTGCTGTCAGCTCAGCGGCGTGAGACCTTGTTCTGTAGTGCCAGTGAATTCCAGCAATCTTTCCAGACAGTGTTGTTCCGGTTCCGTGGAATATTCCTTTCGCTGCTGCAAGGATTCTATCTCCATGCTCGAGTAGCCTCCCGGAGTACCACTCGAGGAAGAACTGTCCATACTCGGTGTTCCATGTTCCATCCCTTCGGAAAAACCCAGTTTCTTCAGGGAATTGCCTGTAGTGGCCAGAATCATGTGGACCGCCTTTTCCCCAGTCTTTCTTCCCGATGGCTTCGGCCGCTGCTTCAAGCGACGCTCTCATATACTGTTTCAACATTATAAGGCTTGTTTAGGAAACAAACACATCTAAGTTCCGATCATTCAAATTATGTGCAATATTCTGATTGCTTGAGCCCCATAATTCCTTTCACTTCCCAAAAGATAAATAAAAAGGAAACTTCATTTTGGTTGATTATAATTACCTTGTCATAGCACTGAAACTCTCCAATTCCAGGAAACTTCCATGTCCCATTGCTCTCTGGATAAGCTGGGTATCGCAGCTCCCCGCAAGGTCCCATCCCCACTTGAATTTCCTGAAATAGAAATTACAAAAGAAAAGAAAAATGTCACCACTTGAATAAAGCAATGAAAGTGCAAAAAACTAGATATTGATGTTTGATATTTAAAACATGATGGTAGGCGCCGGTGGTCCATCATTTGGATGGTATTTAGACGCTAATCCTAATGGATTGGTGGTATGATGCTGACACCATTGTTTAGTTGCCTTTGTGATTATCTTTCTTTTTTTCCTCTTACCCTTTTTAGTATTTAATAGTAATGTTGTTTGCTCTATCTCTCCTTACATCCATTCACTCTGAGAAAAAAGATTACCCTGTTACTTGAACCTTGATACAAGTATTACTGCTAATTTCTTTCTTCTGTCCTGATCTTGCAAAAGTGTGGGGGTTAAACAATTTGGAGGAGAATTGGAGTTTCTGTTTATACTACAACTCTTCTATCCATTTGTCTACTAGTGCAAAATGATCTACCCTCTCTTTGACGTTAGACATTTTCAATATTAAGATATACTTAGATTTGAAAAAAAAATTTTTTTTTAAAATAAAAGAAAAAAGTACATAATAATTAGAATAAAATGAGCTAAAACATAAAATAAATTAAGATGAGCTTAAAATTAATGAAATTAACAATATATAATTAATATATTATAAAGACACTCGGCAAGTGTCACGTGTAAGTGATTAAATAATAAATAAATTATATTTATTTTTAATTATCACACAAATATCTGTTAAAAAGAGACATTCAAATCTATTATTGGAAATAGACATAAACTCCATCTGATTTTAAAATTTTAAAATTTTAAAAATTTAACAATTTCTCATTTCTTTGTTGATATTCTCTAAATTTTCTTTTGTATTATTTTGTCGAGGTTTATCCCTCAACTGCTTTTGCACAATAACGAAAAAAACCTCTTAATTTAAAGATGGTGTATTCGACACCGTTTTAATTAATTTCCCCTTCTCTGTTTTAACGCCCGAGAGTCGCCTTTTGAGTTTTGAGATGCTCACCACAATAACTCGCCCCAAGTAATCTCTGAACCTCTCGCGGAAGGCTCCTATGTATCTGTTTGTAGGCTGAATAGGTGTTCTTCCCCTGAGAACAGGGATCGCGTCACAGCCCAGGAAATGTACTCAGGGTTCCTCCGCCCTGACCTATCAGTGTAGACAAGGTCCGGGTTCTTGCTGATTTCTTCTAGCACCCATGGGGAAGCGGAATGCTAAAACATTCAAGGAGGAAAATTTGGGTTTATGTTTCTAAAGCCATTTTGCATAATGAGAATTGAAATAATGCATATTCTTTGCCAGTTGAAGAAATAAATATGAAGACGAGAAAGCAATACCTGCAAGAGTCCCCAACATTTCCTCCGCACTGATGGAAAGACATAACAACTTGGAGCTTTAGACCATGCTTTTCGACCATTTGCACAAGCTCGGCATACCCTTCCCAGTTGTACTTTAAAGGTCCATCTTTCTCCACCAAACCCCACCAAGCATCCACCATGACTCCTTCCACGCCTGCGCTCTTTAACGCCATCAAACTGGCATTCATCGCCCGTGGCTTATGCAAGTTACCTCCTAGGGTGATTGTGTCAAGTGGCAACATCACAAAAACAGGCACCCTAGAGTTATTCTCATTATGAGAAATTGTTAGACCATGTAATTTCTCCCTATTCTCACTATTCCTCCCTTCCGCGATTGAGATTTTCCCACGTGATGAGAGCTGTGCATCCTGCATCGACATGGAATTCTTTGCTCGGAGACGGCAAGAAGGCTTCGTTTGAGCAAAGCAAATGGTGCCTAGGAAGTCATCAGGAGTTTTGGTTAAGCTTTTGGTTTCTTTTAGATTAAAGAAAGATGTAGAAGAACGTAACGTTAAGGTCATGTTTCTGTTTGCTGGTTTGGGAAAAGAAGAAGTGAGGGAACGAAAGATGTGAGAAGAAATGAGATGGTTTGCATTCATTTATAAAAAGAAGCTTTGGGATTAGCATTCTGAAGGATGTGTCAGCTCTGCTTTAAAAGAGAAAAAGTGCAAAAGATCAAAACTAGTCAGCTCAAATTTTCAAGGATGTGTCATCCAAACGCGGTTGTTTCTTGTCCATTCTTAACAAACACTAGGATCCAAAAGGTTTTCAGCTTCAACCGTCAGCAATAATCACTTTTGAAATGGCAGAATTGCCTGTAGTGTTGGTTCTTGACTATTTGGGTATGTTTTATCTCACCAACCATTTCTTTTGCAGCTTGGGAATGTTTACATGTTGGTTTGTACTTTCTCGCAAAACAAGTTGTTATAAGGATAAAAAAGGTTGCCATTGAAAATGTTAAAGCCCCAGTCATTTGGCATACTCACAGAGTGATGAAATATCTTCACAAGAGATATTTTGTACTAACTGACATGTTAATTGCAGAAGTCATAGTCACAAAAGAAGTTGCAATTCATAAAGTGAAGTGAATTTTCCATATACTGTCTTCACCTCAAACTATATATGATTATGCAACATCATAATATCACACTCACTATGAGAATAAATTTGCTCATGACCTGTTCCCGGTGGTAGCTGCTGCTGGTGAAAGTAAGTTTACTGTAATCTTGCTAATATTTTCTGGGTTCTATGTTAACCCATGGTGGTACTACTTTGACATGATTCAGCAAACTCTACAGTGAGTTAGCCCCCTTCTTTGGCTTATGTTCTGTCCTGCACAATGAATTTCTGTGGCTGACAAAGTTCTCTCAGGATTTCAATTTTTTTTTTTGTTTTTGCTTGGCATCGGTCGGTTTAGGATAAGAAAATTGGAGTCTGTTTTCAATTGCGAGAGGGCTGTAATTAAGTCCATGCTTCATTTTCTGTTGGACTTTTCTTTCTTTCCGTATGCATTGATCTATTGAAAGTTGGAACTGCTCCACTCATTTACCATATGAATATTATTCATGCTAGTACCTAATCGTTTACCTGACCAAACACCGTCTACTTCGTGCTGATAGGATCAAAACTCCTCCACGTCATTCAGGCGTAGGCTCAGCC